TTAACATGTATACGAATCAGTCAAAAGGGTAGCTTAGAACATTTGCACCAATTGTCTTAGAACATTTCAGGGATGCTGCTTCTCTGAGTGATGAGACTGAATAATGGGTGTAATTAAGTTTGGTGAACATGCTGATTCAGTTTCAGTGTCTGGGTATAAAAAAGACTAAAACTCTGAAACGTGGAACAGAACGGCTCATTGTTTTAGGAGGAGCTCTCTCACTCTGTGTGTCAGAGTGTGTGTGGAGGCTGTGTGTGTTTTGCTTTCCTCACTAGGGAATACTTAAAGGTAATTTAGGGTTGTGAGGGAGGGAACTGAAGCATTTTATTTTTGTGTGTGTGTGTGAGTGTGTGTGTGTGTGTGCATGCATTTACATCAACAGTGGGTACTAACAATGGTGTGTACGTATAATCTAAAAAAGTTGGGTTGCCTCCACCTGTCTCTGATGTGGATATTTAACAGCACCTTGTGGATTTAGATAATTATGCGTGGCAGACTTACCCACATTTCCACCACCACCACTTACTCTCAGACCCTTTCTGTTTTTCTTCTTCCGTCTTTTTTTTTTTCTGCTCATCCATCAGCCCCTCTCCTACATAAGTTCCCACTGCTCTTTGAATGTGTTTATTTGCCGAGTTCTGTAACCTTATGCCCTGCTTATATGTAGGGCACCTACATATGAGGTTACCGTGGTAGCTGGCACTATTGGAGCTGAAACCAAAAACACCAAACAAACACATCATTACACAATCTCTTTCGTTCTTCATCGTCAAATCGTCCCAGCCAATCCCCCTTCCTCTTCAATTCTACTGTCTTTGTGATTCGTGGCCTTCATATTTGATCATTCCTCACATTCCTTTTATAGCTTACAGGTTTTGTTGATCTACCTGCAGTAAGGCAATAACTCTGCTTCCACCGCAGCTTCTCTTGCTGCCCTGTGATTGGTCGCTGTGGTATTTTGGGAGAGTTGAATAACAGTTGTTGCTGTGTGCAGGGCAGAGAAACCTAATGAGACGTGCCGTTTGGGGCCTGGATGTAGTTGGGGGGAGAAGGTTTGGACTGTTGGCACATTGAGTGTTAATGGTGTCATTACCCTAAATCCCCTCCCCATCCCACCACCCGCCCCTGGCTGAACTAGGTGCTAGGCAGGCCTAAATCTGTCCACCGCTCTCTACTATGGCATCCTGCTAACAGACTCACTGTCGCCACAGTGTAAATGGACCTGCGTGTGGTGCTTGGGACGATGTAGGAGTTTAGCAAAAGCCTCATTATGAAGTTTTCACCTGTATAAGTAGTTACGGTAGTGTTATTGCATGTGCATATATAATGAAAGGACTTCTCCCTGTTGATAAACAGAAATGTTTGTCAACAAACATTACCATGGCCTCTTGCTACTGCATATCACAGCTGAGATTCAGAATAGCTCTTAGACACCAAACTGCAATACAGGTCTTCTGGCAAGTATGCTAATATTGGTCAACATTGAGGGAAGTTGAATAAACCACCAATCAGAATGTAAACAAGGTGAGGTAGTCTTGTAAGAGTCATCAAAAGTATTAGCGGCTTTCAACTGCCCACCTTTTTCTCTTGACCACCAATTCCATAGTTTTTAAAGTGACGGTCTTGCAAGATCTCTGAGATGTCAGTGGCCCAAATAAGAAAAATCTTTTCATTTTAGTGCTGCTCCTGGTAAAGAAACGTTATTAATTAGGCATTGAATTCAGTTGATAATTTGCTTATAAGCTTATGCATAAAAATAGAGATATCACAAACTATTGTGATAAATAACTTTATTATAACTTTAAAAGTCAATATGTCATATAATTCTAGTTGAATTTATGAAAATGTTTGTATTTGATAATGTTTTTGTTATTAGTTATCATACTCTCTACTGCAGTAGGCAGTGGTTAGTATGAGTACGTTGTTTTTTTACCCAGTCAAAAAAATACCCATGAATCTCTGCGATGACAAGAATGCCAGCCGTTTGAAATCAAAAGCAAGGCCGCATCTGGAGCATGGAGAGGTGACAGCAGTGATGCTCAGAGTTGAGGTTCATCATGTCAGCAGCCTCTTCCTCATCCAAAAATAAGAGGCTGGGGTTCGACATGTTTTTGTTTCAGCTCTGCAAATGGTGACATAATTTACAGACACATGTACACTCCTGGCTTGATCAAGAGCTGCCAGTAAGATGGCTTTATCAACCCTCTGGTGAGTTGAGACGTTTAGCCATCTGCCCTGGACGTGCTTGCTGCTCTAAAATAGCACTAGCTGACTAAATGTACTTTTTAACACTAGAAATCCCGGAGATATGAGAATTTTCGTCAGCCTCCAGTCCCCCCAACAGTACTTCACAACTCATGAATCCCTTTTTTAGATGTAAATGCCCCGTTAGAGCTGTGGTTGGAGAACCATTCCACCCCCTTCAGTTTCGGTTTTAGCTCAAGCCTCTTAAGCCTCTACAAATATGATTTTGGGGGTGGTATAACTAGGTCTAAGTCATCAGTGTCGCTATCACCGCAATGATTTCAGCGGAGCAACCAGCGCAGCGATCAGACGATAACTGATCTGTACAATGAAAATAGCTGCATGAGCTGGAAAGCTGTAGATAGGGAAGGCAAGAATATTCATACAATAATGACCATCTGCCCTCTTTAATAGGGGGCAAATATAACTCAAGTCACGATCTCTCCTCCACTGCAAACAGCATTGTGAGACTGCAGTATAGTTAGCATTATATTCACAGTTTCGGTTTTTCTGGATTAATAACTCATCGGCGGATCATTTATTGTACAAAACAGACACCTCTCAGCAACCAAAGCAAGCCAGACAGTGAGCTACAACCGTGGTTTCCTCAAAGCGAGTCTCCTATCGCACTGGGAGAATTACAGAGCTCGCTCCTCCACAGGGACCGTCTGCAAGTTGCAAAATAATCAGAGAAAAATATTCAAAATCGTCACCAAGAAGAGGTGGATTATTATCAAATTCATTTCATGTGTAGCTCATCTCATGTGTTTCATATCACATTTGTTGGATTTGAAAATAATACGTTTTTTGAGGAATTTTCCAAAGCTTAAATGACAAATGGACCCTCTATTTTATTATTAGAATAAGTATAAAATGAGCAATGACTACACTATAGATCATTGTAGTGCCACCAAACTTGTAGCACACATAGATAACTTCATCTGGATCATACTACAAATCTGACTTTCAGAATATGTGCTAAACTCTATTTTTTGAGATTTTTTCATTCTTGTTATAAGCAGGCCAGGTGCACAANGGCCTGGATCGGTTTTTCAAGGGTAGTGTAAATGGGGCTATTATC